TGTAGATCAAGTCTGTCCTCAGGACCTAGAACTGTATGTGTCAGGGCAGGCATCATTATCAGCTACATGCACTAATCCTCACAATAATAAATTCAACAGAAATGGCCTGCTCTCATCCATTTAGGTCTCATCTGCTATGAGGAAGGACATTGAGCTCTCAATGCAAGCATGAGCTCCTCCTCCATTAAATGGGGTTTCTTTGAGTCACTGAGTAGAGTTTTCAAGACAACACAAATAGGCTTAAAAACAGAAAAGAGTTAAGCTATATTTTGTTAGTTTAGCCTTAAGAACAGACAGAACACCATAAATACCACAAATCAGCAACACCACCTCTGTCTGGTTTCCACCAACTGGCACCAAACAGCAGTTAACTCACAAAATCTTTCCTCCAAAATTTAGTGAAATTGCTCAGTTAAGTGGGTTCCCTCTGTGCAAAGAGCTGCAAGGATCTGATCCAACATTAACAAACAAGAAGGCTACAGCTGCCAAAGGCAAGCTGGCTTACCTCTTCTCACTCACTTGGCCATCTGAATCTCCTTTTCAAAGGAGATCAATCTCCTTATCAGTGCTCTACTGATACCAGATGTGTTTGCATTAAGTTTAATTTTCAGTCCTCCTGCACAGCCACATGGAAGACTCTGAAAAGGAAATACAGGTGACCACTATCTTGCCTGTTGATTCTGGCTCAACAGTCCATGCCAACAGGTGTGGGGTCAGAAATTTACACTTTGTGGCAGAACACTGATCAGCACTACATGAATGTTTTTCCCAAAATAACACCTTTATGCTCTAAATTCTGGATGACATGTTCTTCCTCTTGATGGCCTTGCATGTACTCTATGGGAAAAGAACCTATTAGCATTTCAGCACATTTCCCAAATATATCTGAAGTGTATTTCCATTTCTATCTGGGTTTGGGTTTTGTTTGGGTGTTTTGGGTTTTGGGGGGGTGGGGTAGGGGTGGTGTTTTTTGGTGGTTTTGTTTTTTGTTTTTTTACAGTCACTGTTAATAGTTATTTTCATTGAGTATGAAGACAATCTTTCCAATTAGTCAACAAATAACTACACAAACATAAAAAGAGCTAATGTAGAAAAACCTATAAAGCACATGTCTTTTTCTTTCCACTCTTTCATGTTGTGCTTTATGAACAATATCTACTCTATTGCCTCCACAACAGGCAAACAGGCAGGCAAACAGGATGCTCACATCCTCATTAAGCTGCAAGTGCATGTGTGGTCCGACAAGTATGTATTATACTTCACACCCTCAGACATGTTCCCAGAAAAGAGCAGAGATGAGCTGTTAATATCAGTGGTCTCAAACAGATCCAACATAATGCCAACTTCTGAATTGCATCCTACAAGACTTCCCCCAGATACATGTATTAAAATTCCTTACCAGTTCAGACTTTTCTACTAAAATAATCACGAAACAGAAGGACCAAGCAAACACTGTAATTGAAAACTTAGAGACTTGTCTTTCAATAGATTTTTACTTAACCTGCATATAGTCAGATGTCAGAAAGCACAGCTCTCAAACTGTAAGTACACTGCCAGCATACAGCTGGCCTCAAAAGGCAGCAGTGACTTTAATTCACAAGTTCCATTTCTCCAGGAAAAAGGAGGTAATTTTTTAATTTGTAACACTCCATCTCAGTTAGCAGCTTCAGTACTCTAGGCATTATCACCCAAATATTCCTCCAGCATCACTAAAGTGCAGAATCCTACAGTCAGAACATCTACAGTGCAAAAATACACAATAAATATTCCTTTTATAACACACACATCCATTGCAAAACCTGTCAGTCCTCTAAGGATTAGTAGGGGTCATATAAAAAAAACTGGCTTCTTTATCAGATGAGAAGTGGACAAAGCATCCCAAAGGTCTTAAGAAGGTATGATTCATGACATCTTGTGGTTTTCTGATGCAAGTGATATTACTCAAAACTATGTATATAGACACCAGCCAGTCACACAACACTGTCACTGGAGCCAGACAACTTAATCTGATCCACTGACCAGCTGTTCAACATGCAATCCAAAGGTAATACAGATGCTTTAATGTTACCTGGACCAGATTTCATAACAAAAATCATTTGGGGTATGGCTGTAGACTGCATGACTGTGAATGGGAAGGAAAAAATTTTTTCCATGGTGAGAGTGGTCAAGCACCGGCATAGGTTGCCAGAAAGGTTGTGGATTCTCCATCCTGGGAGATGCTCAAAACCTGACTGGACAGTCCTAGACAACTTGGTCTAGCTGACCCTGTTTGAGCATGTATGGGGAACGGACAAAATGATCTCCAGAGCTCCCTGCCAACCTCAACCATTCTGTGAGTCTGAAAAAAAAAGAGCATGTGACAAGAACTACTCAGAGAAATAGCAATGCTCTGCTGCTGTGCCTGTTGCTTAAAACAAAAAATTGCAAAAGGCTTCCATAAGCATTGTTAGGAAAGAATAAAATTAGGGAGAGGTAAAATCAAAGACAAAAATAACAAGTAGTAAAATGCTGTCAAGATCTCAAAGTACAGACAAGGCAGCAGGAAGCAGAAGCATAGCAAGCTTTATTCTATAATGACTTATCGTGACCAAGTACATGAGCAACTAAGATACAGAGATGACAGTTAAGGTCATGCCACAAGCCATATTCAAGAAGGAACAGCTCCTGCTGTCTGATTTTACTTTCTCTCTGCGTGGAGATCCATACTCCCCACAGGTCTTTCCTTTTGCCAAAACCAGGACACTGTAACTTTGTTTTCAATCTGCTTCACAGGACTCTCTCCCAAGTATTAAAGAAGAAACTAAACAGGCATCCAATGGGGGAAACGTTAACATTGTAAACTGGAAATCACATGCTTTTAAACTAACACGGCAGCCTTAAAAATACTCCTGTTTGCTACAGGCCTAAACTTATTTGCATTATTACCATTCTAGATTCTCAACTTATTATTGAGCCCTCCTTAAACTTTAAAGAAAAAAAATTAATTGTAAGCACTAATAACAAGCTCATACCCAGCCCAACAACAGGGATGGTATTTTCTCCATTAGCTATTTCAGCTGAGAGTATTACAGATGTTGAAGATTAGTAAGTTCCCTTCGCAGGACTGTCTTTGCTTTCTAACAGGAAAGAAAAAAATCAAAATCAAAATGAAATACTTTTTTTTTTTAAGAAATACAAGCAGCAGGAATTATACTGTACTCTAAAAGAAATTTCATTCTTTTTCTATAGGGTAGCAGTGGTGAAAGCTCCGGTGCAGACAGTATGGAGGATGTAAGTCTTGTCTTTGTAAATTAACAGAATCTCACTAGTTCTAACATTTGTATTTAACTGGGGATTTTGGTAATGAACAGGCAAATACTGACACAAGATGACTTTCTTTCCACAGCAACCAAACAGGTTCATGAAAGCTCTTCATCACTTCTTTGGACACCCAGGCCACACGGCTGGTCTGCAGGCTTATCAAGCTCAAGTCTGAGGTAATTAAACTGTCTGGTAGGACAATGGGACATAAGACTGCAGGAAGCTCTAGCTGGCCAGGGAACATTCCATCAGGGATACTGAGAGAACAGCTTCTGAATGACAAACTACCATAGAAGGGAGCTGGGGAGGGACTGCAATTTATCTTTGAAACTCAAGAAGAATAATCCACTTTCTAATTAGTAGATATGCATTCTATGGGGTAACTTTTTTTAATACAAAACCCCTCTATTTTTTCAGCTTGAAAAAAGGTTACAAACTTTCTCAAAATTCTGCTGCTGTTCCTTAGATACTCTGAGTATTTGTCTGGGTATCCCAGTCCTTGGGGGTAGATGATCTCTTAGGTATTTTTAAAAAGTAGTTTAGGATAAGTTTAGAGGCACAACACATAGGACTGAAAAATAACTTTCCAACATATCTAACTTGTATTAATATACAAGCTAACATCACCCATGTAAAGTTGACCATTTTCCAGAAGATTTGCCAAATGAAAAGAAATGCCACTACATTTGACTGAAAGAAAAATAAATAACTCTTAACATTACTTTTTCCTTTGACAGGAATATAACAACTCTACAAGATTCCCAGGGTTCTTCATATAAACATATATGGACTCCTCCAGATTTCATTAACTAATTGGAAGGGGTAGTGATGAAAAGGAACAAGCCCTAAAATCATTCATTAGTTAAGCAGGATGTGGCCTACAGTCTCAACAATGCATGAGCATGTCACAGTACCACTACACAAGGTAATTCCATACCGTGACATTTATCAACACCTTACTTCAACACATGGATCAAAATTCATTAAGATCCCCTCTCCACATCTCAACCACAACTTTTAGCTGTTGCTGTCACCAACTCTTGACACTTTTAATCAATTAACATCAATTATTCCTTGGTTAAAAACACAGGGAGAAATGTCAGCAATTGCTGTGCAGCTCTTATCAGCATAAATGCCATAGAAGGCTCACATCAGCCTCCTGACTGCAAGTTACTCACATGACCTGAACTGTAAAAAACCCACAATTTACAAGATTATACTTTAAGGCTGCTCTTTCCAATGATCCTGTTTATGGCAGAGCCTCCCCAGCAGCTGTACTGCTATGAGCAGTGGGGAGAGAGGAACCTCAAAATCCAGCTCCTAAAAATCAGTCAAGTCACATCCTCCAACAGTTATCTTTTTCAACAGAGGCACTGTCATAGACATTCAGATGTGAATACCATCCATACTGTAAACTAGAAAGCAATTAAATGTGAAAACCAATCTCTCAAAACAGAAAATCACTGAAAAGACATGCTAAGTGAAAAGAAACTTCACTTTATTTTGTAGCACTTAATTTAAGTCATTATTCAGGCTATCATCCTACAAGACTCACTTCCCTTAAGGATTCATACTCCTGATGAGAAATCAGTGCAAAAATACAGAGCTGAGGTGAACAGCCTCTGAACTACAACCAGGCAGAATCCCAGTGCTGTCACGCAAGTCTGCAGATATGAAATAGCTGCAAATAATGAAGACAAGAAACCAAAACAAAGTAATAGCTCCACATTCATCTCACTTCACAGTAGCTGAGAAATCAAAAGCAGCAATGTGAAGTGTCTGAAAAAGCCTCTATTTATCACTGCTAAGTGTTTTTGCCAGCTGAATTTCATGGATTTTTCGCTGAATTTCCACTGAAAAGGACAATGTCATCTGTTTCAAAGCTGGAAAACATATTCGCCCCCTGGTGCTTCATTTACATCACTCTCAGCACTCAGGACCAGGATCCTCACTCCAGTGGGCTCCCCGCTTCTCAGTCACAAGCTTAATGAAGTAGCTATGACTTGCATACAGCTTGATCTTCTCACTGATGTCAACCCACTTCACTACTCCAGCATCATCACCTGCTTCCAGAGGCAAATTATCCATTGTCTCACCTGTTCACAAAAAAAGTTAGGATATGCTGTTACATTCTTTCCTGCTTTTTCTTCTCACATGTCATCAGTTCTGCCCTTCCACATGGCTCCTTCACAGGCAGCAAACTTCAGCTGCTTCTCAGAGAAACCAATTAAGTTGCACACTGATTCTGTGCCAGAAACCTTTTTCATACTTGCACTATTTTAAGGCAAATCTGAGTGGCAGAGGTGGCACTAACTCGCTACTACTCCTAGGGTACCATCAGCAGCACAATAAGTTACTAGAAATCATTATGACTACTTGTATAGACTACCACAAATTTAGCCAATCCCTCTGCCTTGATTTTTGTTTGACTAACATTTGACTGCTTTCTTTCTCAGGTACTATTCTACAGAACAAACTGAATTCTGAAACTTATATATGCTTATGGAAAACCAGAATAATTAAAATTTTACTAAAGGCTCCAAAATAAAAAACCAGTACTTCAGGAGCAATGTAGAATTGCTCTCTGAAGTTTCTTAGTCTGTTTCTAAAAAGAGTCCCAGGAGTTCACAAGACAACAACCAAATAAATGCTTTTAAAAGTGTCATAAAATGTATATTAGAAACAAAGACCAAAGGATCAGTTTCTTCACTGTTTCTGGGGACTTAGAAATCAAGGACCAGCGACATGTGAAACTTCACCACTGGTATCTACTACCCAAATCACAGTGGAAATGTCACTACATGAAGTCTCTGACTTGTTCAAGTCAGACACACCTAGACTGATTTATCTTAAAAGGTGAGAGATGGGAATCCAAGATAACAGATCAATCTAAGAACTAGCAACGTATGCCCATTCCTACTGATTTATAGAAACAAAATAAGGTCCAACAATTACTCTGGCAGAGTAACTGAGATAAAAGGTCTCAGGGCAATTACAACACCAAACCAATAAATGCAGTGAAAATCTGCCAGCAACCAGAGGCAATGCTCCTGAAGCACACACTAGCTACTAAAGGAAAACTAACAAAAGAAACAGACTATCCTTCCACCTCAGACTCATTAAAAAGAGAAATTAAACCACCTCAAGATAAATACAATGACAAGGAACCCTTGTCCAATGTTGAGTCTCCATACAAAGGTACATGGCCCATAGCTTAGAACTAGCTAACAAATGAATAAATAATTTGCAGCCAAAGTCCATATATTCTTTATTTCAAGACCAACAGAAACCAAACTGTCAACAACAGGGAACAACAACTGCCTGTCACAGCTGAACATCTTGGGAGACAAGAGACCCCCATGCCCATTGGTTTTAGCCCAATATTTTACACCTGACTTGCATGCTCCCTCAATTTCATTGCCAATCTCAGCCCAACATACATCCCAACTTCAAACCAAGATATAAAGTAAAAGGCAAATACAAGCACATGTGGAGATACCCACCAGTTTCATCATGATAGTTCACAGCCTCTGTCTCCATCCAGGCATTATCTGTGTTACGAGGGTCATCCACATATCCTCTGTACACCTAAGGCCCCAAACAAAGCAAAACAAGCTCAGTGTCACAACAAACAAGGTGGAATGAATAAGATTTTCTTTCTCTCCAATACATTTGCCCTTAGAGTTTTCAATAGTCCCTTCCACTTCCTACACCATGACAACCCTAGCATCACAGCTTATTTTCATTTCAGCTACATTTTTTCAAGTTCCATACAGCTGCGAGTTACATGCATAGCTCCAGAGGCTATCACAAGAGACACAAAGCTCACCACAAAGTGCTCCTGGCTGAACAGCTTGTGAAGCTGTTTCTCCAATTCTGCTTTCTCCTCAGGCGATTTCTGCAAGGAGTTCAAGGCCTCCTCCTCAAATTCTCGCTTCAGGGTAGTGCTAATCTTCTCCCCTGGATCCACCATCCCCTTAGAGGGGGGAAAAGAAGAAGTGACTATCCCTCAGATTCCACTTGGACTGATTCCACTTCCACTTCCCCTTAGACTGGCTCTTAGTATATTACATCCACTTCCATTATACTCAGGACATGGAAGGAACTTTACATGCAGTTGCAAAGAGCAAGCACACATATCCTTCAAAACCTGCAATGGATTAAATTGTGCCTGCATTAAGCAAGAGACATGGTGAGAATCAAATACGAATACTGCCTTGCAATGCAGAAACAGCAGAAGGCATACCAGCTGATGCTTGGGCAAAGCTAGTTTAAGGAGCACTTCTCACCTCTGCAACATGAGGTTGTTCAAAAAAGCACAATTCCATCACGCACACACCAGTTATCAACTTGTGGCCTTACCAGCAGGGAAATGTCTACCATCTCCGGAGCTTTGCTCTTACCCCTGGAATGGCCCACTCCCCACAGTCTCTCCTCTTGATAGCTACAAACTGTAAGATGTTTTTGCCAGTAACTGGATGAGCAATTTTATTGCCACTTCTGTCCCTCTTCCACCTGCAGCAAACGACAAACAAGAACATGCTTTGCTGCTTCTTGACACAAGGGCCTGGGAGAGGAACAGCAAGGCACCCATGCTGTTACCTGTGCAAGGGCAAACAAAGCAGAGAGAACAGTCACGGGCAGGGTGGGGATGGGACTGACAGATGCCATCTGGCAAGATTGCCACCAAGGGCAGAACACCGAGTTTTTCACGCACCTCCACCAATTGTGTTTTCCTCAGCCAAAAGGGCAGAAACCACCCAAGAGGCACATTTCTGTAGCCATGCTGATAGCAGCAGCTCCTTTGAGAGCTATGTCCAGCACATCCTACCAGCTGTGATGCTTGCCGAGCTGCACTTGTGCCTATCCCTCTCAAGCATGCCTTCTGCTAGAACAGAACATACATGCAGGCTGCAACACCTCTGAAGCACTTCACCCAGCACCAGCGCACCACCACAAACACCCACTGTTGCCTTCAGTATAGAATTAAGAAGAACTGCCAATAGTTAAAGCAAAAAGCTATCTAAACAAAGACAAAATAAAAGCAGCATTTCTTTTACTTTCAAGGAAACAACTCAATAGCACTGGCAGCCTTCTGAAAAGGGGAAGAAGTAAAATGAATTAGGATGATTTTCACAATGGTTCTATCTTCAGCATGGCACTTCTCAGCTTGCACCTTTGTTAACTATGCTATCTTTTCTGAACGCTTTCTGTGTGTACAATAGTTAGCACATACACACTGATCCTGGCAGCAAAAGCACCACTAAAACAGAGCATACACTGACAAAAAACAAAAAAGAGAAACATAACCCTGCCTCCTCCTATAACATACTAGGCCAAGTTAGTATTTCTTACAGAGCAAAAGCAGGCACACTGCCTTTTTTTTGCAGATGAGTCATTGTGACAGAAAAACCTATTCTTGCAATTTAACATGCCTCATCTAAGGCCTTTTAGCATATTATGCATACGTTATCAAAGTATCACATAATCCTTTCAGTTTTTACATTTGTTACTGAAGATTATTTGTATAATGTATTTCTATTAAATTATGCTTCCTGGTTTGTTGGTTTTCTTTTTAAATCTGCTTCCTCAGCATTTCAGAAGTGATTGCCTGTCATTAGCAGTGAGTCCTTACTCTTTTCCAGAGACAAAGACTAAAAAATTATGGCATTCATGTTCTACATGTCTATGTATCTCTCCAGACATCCATATCTGAATAGGCTTACACATAGAGGAACACACACAAAGGGCCTGTGAAAAGAAATAGCCTATCTAGAGATGCACAGAAAAAGCTAAATGCATGGGATTTTTTTGCTCTGCTGCAGGGCACCTTTAAGTCACCTGACGCTTACCTAGTTACAACAGGATCAGCAGCATGGTTTGGTCCCCAGCGCCCTAACAGTCCTCTGCCTGTGAGGCCAGTCCTTCCCACCGGATTTCTGAAATAAGTGGCACAGTACATTAAACATATTTACCTCCCCACATTCAAAATATACTGCAAGTATTCTAAAAGAAGCAGCTTCCAAGAAGCTTAAATAACAACAAAGAAAAGGATAGCAACATACATTTGGTGCCACCATATGCTTTAAAGAGCAAGAGAGACAAAGCATGGTTTTCTCCATCAACCTCTTTTTGTGTTTGATTGTACAGGGAAAGGAAATATACCCAATGGCTTTGTCACTTCTCAGATCTTGTGCCCCAAAATGCTCCTGATCAAACATTACTCTCATCGCACGCACAACCTTGTCTGAAAATGGAATCTAGTTTCCAAGACTACAGATGAACGGAGCATTCAATTATGTACAAATGGCAGAAAGAAAAATTATTTTTAGGTGAGATTACCCATCTGTGCTACACCAGGACTCGTCAGTGGAAGCAAATACCCTTCCACTCTGCCATAGCACGCAAGAGGCACAAAAGCTTCAAAGCCCAACACCTGGTCAAACTGTGGAAAAAATTAATTCCACAGACCCTACTATTAACAGTGTTAGACCTCCTCCAACTCCAGTGTCACCGCAACCCTCTGTTGTGGTACTACTGGCTAACCTTTTAGTGCCTCTTTGACACAACCTTCTTCCAAAGAACTCTCTGGCCCTGAGGTAGCATTTTTCCTGTCCCTAGGAGAGACTATCTTGATTTTGTTCTATCAGGTACCATGCATCAAAACTGACAGACCTGAAACTACATCACAGAAATGAATATGCAAACAAAAAACACACTCACCGGGGCCTCCCATTTTCAACCACATACAAGCCATTCAGACTCCTCCTCTCCACTTCTCCATCTCTCTCATTGAATTTGGGAGAAAAACCTTTATCACTGTGTGGAAAAGAATAATTTAGCAGAGATTAAGTTATAAAACGCAAAACACCCCTCTGCCCCACAAAAGCTTGCAGGCCAACCACCAGATCAGCAATACCCATTTGACCGATGAGCAGTTTTTACCAGAATTTAAGTTGCAGGCCCTCCCTTTTGTAGAGGCAGCTATAGAGTCTCAACCTTTATTGATGACAGTCTCCCTGTATTTAGTTCTGCAGACAGAAGCATGTCCCTCTGAAGAATTTAACATTGTGTCTCTCTAGGTTTTCATTTAGACAAAGTGTTTCAAAGGTGCTCTTGTTAAGGTTAGAGAACACAGAAGGATGTTATCCATCGATAAAACTAAAAATAGTTTGCTAATAAAAAAATTGAGCAGAAATTTATTAGATATGATTTAGCAGAGTTACAAGCTAATAATCGCTGATTTTTCAAAATTAGCTCAATGCCAGTCTCCTATGTATAGCTCTGAAAACCAGTAGAGAAGCAGCTGTCTACAGAAGTAGATTTACTTTCCCAAAAGCAATTCCTCTCAAACCATCACAGGTTTCAGACTACTGATTAGCTTCTTCTACACAATTCAGTTGGGAATTTACACTAATACCCAAAAAATGATGCTGTATTTTCAAGTATTACTATCACCTACTAAAAGATTACCTGACACTTTTCCAACTATGCCTTGACAGAACATCAGCAGCCCTACAGAGCCTAAGGAGCAGTGTGCCTTGCAATCAGCAGAATACTAACCAAATTAAGAGCAAACAGAAGCACATGTTCACACAGCAATGGGAGACAAGGAAGCTAAGGCTGAAACCTCAAGTGCCATTTTCTTCTGATTTTTCTACAGGTGTTCATACAGAGGAATCACCATTTCACATTATCACAAGTTACACTAGATGCATGCATCTAACTTTCTAGCCAAGAAGGATACAGAATTCCTTGAGAGGAGAATGTATTCACAGAATCAATTACAAAAATAATCAATATACACATTCAGAAAAAAAAGAAATACAGTCATGCATTCAACCTGTCACCTTTCCCGAGTCAGAGCACTCAACTCAAAAACTACAATTCTACTTTAATTCTTTTCTCATCTTGCATTCAATCCATGAACAAACAAACAAGTATATTATGAAATTGTTCTCCCAAATTCTTAAGGAGAATTAGGAGATTTTTACTTAGCTCACAACACAGAGAAGCACCACTCCACAGCATCAACAGCTGTCCACTATTCCAGTTAACACTACTCTTACCTCAATCACCAGCTCAGTACACTCATGCATCAAAGACAGTCACAGCTACTCCAAACCATTCGGTTCTCTAACCACCATTTTTCTAGGTCTTGACTCTCACACATCACTGTAGAATCACACATCACTTAAGCTGATGATCTTTGTAACTCAGCTGATCCCTATTTCCTGCTTCCATGTCCACAGGAGAGAAAAGCCACAATTTACACTCACTTGATTTGGGGATCCGCCCAACTGGGTCCAGCCAAAACAGACATTGCAGTGTATTCCACAGGATTATAATCTTTCCACTCAATTAGCCAGCCCACTTTATCTTCAGGAACTTGACTACGCTCAACAGGTGATCCTGGATAGGGGGAGGTGAGAGCTTTGCTGTGGTACAACTTAACATTGTAATTGTTGAACATGTTAACTGGATGCAGGTGGGACCAACAGTTTGCAGGCAAGTTACTGAAAGAAAGAAAGAAAAAAACCACCTCATTCATTAGGCTTTAACCCTGTTATTTAATCCCAGGTGTGCAGAGTACATTATAGCAAGTGGAACAGACTAGGCATTTTCAACAAAACAGCTCTCAGTAATATATTATTGCTTCTTTCAGACATCATGCAAATGTACACCTGGACCAACAAATTCTGAATTTTACCTTCAGCTTCTTGAAGCAGAAAAGTACTCTACTAGACACACAGGAAGATTTCATAGCAGCGTGAGTGAAAAGCTGAGAACTGGAACTGCCCTTCCAGACTGTGTGGAACACTGACCAGTTATTAATCATATAAAAGGAACACCTCAAATATTTTTACCATAAATGCAGAAGGAAGGTCTGCTTGAACATTAAATCTCTGCATGGGCATTTCATCAACAAACCAACCCAGCCTTACAAGAGTCCTGCTGTCATAGCCAGTGGTAAACCAGGTAAGAGCAAGAATGAAATATCCAAGAGCTGAGCAACACAGCTCTACAAGTTGCTATGATCACCAAAATATTATTTTGTGCAATACTGACTAGGATTACACATACCTCGTTTTTCAATTTTAAAGAAGGCTAGAACTATCAAACTAGTTAAGTTAAAAGAAAAAAAACACTTGAGACTCCTAGTGATTTTATTTTGCCATGG